CTCTTATAAAGACTTTAGTCAGTGGATTTAAGGCCACCCAAATCCAGGACGATCTCGTCCTGAGATTCCCCACTTAATCGCATCTGCAAAGACCCTTTTTCCAAACAGGCCACATTTACATGTTCCGGGGGGTCAGGATGTGAACGTATCTTTTCAGGAGACTCTGTTCAACCCACCACAGGGGCAGTGATGACGCTAGAACTCGACCAGGACACGGAGGCCTGGGCCCTTATGATGAGCCCGTTGCGCGCTGTCTTGGTTGGTTGTCCTAACGGGACATGATCCTCCACCTCCCCAGGAGGGACGAGGTGCAGAGGCGAGGTGAGCCCGGCTGCACCCTGCCCCGGACGCGGCGGCCACTCCGAAGCTGGCGCTCTGCAGTTCCTCTCTGTCACGAGTTGCCAGCACGGAGCCAGGTGGCAGAGACTGATAACCTCTGGGAACCCCGGCTTCCTCGTCTGGGAGGGGAGATAACCGTGTCTCCCCAGAGCAGTGGAGACGGCGAGGGGAAGGAGGCTCGGACCCGGCCTGTTCTTCAACTGTGACAGGCTCCTCTCCGCCGGGGGTCCCTCAGGGGCTGTGGGTTAAGGCTCCTTGTAATTGATCCCTCATCGGGGCTGGGCTGGGAATTCAAGACGTGGGTGAGGGGTGAGGACAGGGGAGCTGGAGGCTTGCATCTGGAGCTGGCGAATCAGGAGGGGTGGCAGGCAGAAGATGGGGTGGCCCAGGCGGGGGGCAGGAGGGACAAGAAAGACAGAGAGCAGCGTAGTGCAGGGTTGGGGGGAAGGAGGAGACCGAGGGCAGGGAGCATGGGGAGTGGGACCCTCGCCCAGTCCTCACCCTCCTCTTCCCCCAGCCTGGTCGGGGCAGCGGCGGTGGAGAGATGGAAGCAACCGGCAGCCTTGCCTTGTTGCAAAGAAAATATCCCCTGAAAGACATTAAAATGAAGTAAATAAAGGAGATAAAAATGGAAATATCAAGGCAGCAACTTCTTCTCTTCTGATTACAAAGCAGGCAGCGGGAGGCGGGTGCGGGCCCTTGAAGATGCAGCTGCACAGCCGGGGCCTGATAAGGGCCGGGCCGCCTGTGCCCAAGAGATAAGGCCGCAGCCGCCTGCCCCCTCCCCACCACCCCTCCCCGCCATCGGCGTGTGCACGGCCGACCAACTGGTGCTCCAGATAGAATAAATATAGACTACCACCGCTGCTGCCGCCCAGACCTCATTAATCCGCTTCAGGCATTAAACGCCGTGGAAAATGCAGAGTTGAGAGCTCAGCCGTCAGGAGCGTGACACTCCATCATGTCGCCCCTTCCTGCCCCCTCCTTGGCTGTCGTCTCCGTGTCTTGAGTTCCACTTGGAAGGGAAGTTTCCAGACACAGGTGGAGGACCAGGAGGGAGGGCAGGTGCAGACACCTGACGGGGAGGCCCGGGGCGCACCTGCCCGGGGAGGGGAGGCCGGCGGGCGGCAGCCCCGGCCGGGCCCTGGGGCTGCAGTGATTTAGGAAGGAAACGGCTTGACGTTGGCACAGGGGAGTGGGCACGGGCGGGGCCGGCAGCCTCGCCCTCCGAGTCCTTTGTGTGTGGGGTGTGGCCTTTCCTCCAAGCTGTCCGCCCGCTGGCAGAGACGACGGCTAAACACACAACCACACAGACAAACGTACAATTATGGGAAAGGGAAAGTAAGAGGTGCGACCGGGGCAGAGCAGCGCCCTGAGGGGAGGACGTCCACACGGTCCGCTCAGACCCCTTGGCAGCTCCCCTCCTCAGTGACAAGCCCCCGGCACCCGAGGCCTCCCTTCCTGGCCTTTGCTGTGCTCCCTTGTTTTTAACGCACCTGCTGCGCTGCCTCTCCAACTCATCTTCCTCCAGAGGTCCATTTGGCACCCACCCCACTGCCTTCAAGTCTTTGCCACCTCCTCCTAGAGGCCTTCCTTGACCACCCCTTTGCCTCCTCACCTCCTTTACCACATTACTATCCCCCACCCCCATTCACAGTGTAAAAGCACCATGGAACAGGAATTTGTGTCCATTTTATATGACCCCAGAGCTTGGAACAGGGTCTGGCACATTGTAGGTTCCCCATGCACGTTTATTGAGTGAAGGGAAAAATGGGCACGGGGCTCCCAGTTTAGATGCTGGGGTGGGGGAAAGTGGGATGGTGATGTGGACGGGGAACCAGGGTTAGACACAGAGAGTGGAAGGAAGGACCTCCAGGCAGAGGGACTGGCTTGTGCAAAGGCCCTGAGTTGGAGTCTGATGTGGTCGGGGTGGCTGCCGGAGAGTATGAGAGAGAAGAGGCAGCAGACAGTGCGCCAGGCACACGGGCCCTCGGGCCATGGATGACTCTGGGGGACTTTTCTCATGAGCAGTGTGAGAGCATGCCCAGCTCCTCCCATGCACACAGCTCCCTGCAGGCCTCCAGCACAGCTCGTGCTCAGCTGTCTTGGTTGGGGCTCCCCAGAAGCATGCTCACAGGTGGGCTCCAGCAGCCAGGTAAGGATGCTGGGACTGGCAGGTGGACACCTGGCTGCTGTGCACTGAAAGGTCCAGGGACAGAGGGACGTGAGGGCACACTGGCGCCCCCACATCGTGAAGCCGCTTGAACCGCAGTCCCAGTGAAGCCTGTTGAATGAGCTGACAAGGTGGTCCTACCAACCGCACCAGAAGAGCCTGCGCGTCTGTTCGCTGAAGCCCGTCCGCGCTGCTCCCTGGGGCCGCTTCTCCCCATGCTCCACCTTCCTGGACTCTTCCTCGAGCCTTATCGTAACTTGGTCTCTGTGAGGTGGACCAAAGGGAGGGACCGCCCTTTTGCCAAAACAAAACACCACATCCTGGGCCGAGCAGAAGGGACCCTGGGGGGCAGATGGCGCACCCCAGGCACTGCTCCCGGGCATCCTTCTTCCAGGCGGGGGTCTCCCGCTGTTGGCAGCAGAGCTTTTCAAAAACCATCAGGATGTGTTGCACGTGGAAAAAGTAAGTGCTGGGAAACTTTGGTTTTGGGGACACATGTTTGGGTCAAGACGACCAGCACTGCTCACTCTCCACCTGCACTCTCCTCCTGTTTGCACACGTTCAGCGGCTGGACCCTCACAGTGACTCTGCGAGGTGGGGACTCTCACCACCCCTGCTCCACAGCTGTGGAGATTGAGGTGCAGGGACCTCAACCCTCCCAAGGTCGGCTTGGACCGTGGAGTCGACAGACTGGGCGCGCACGCTGGCTCAACGCTCCCTGGTGGGGGCACCCCTCCTCCCGGAGCCTCCGTCTCCTCGTCTGTAAATGGGCACAACACTGGGGACTTCCCAGCGGGGATGCTGTGAGGGGCACGGGCACGGCACCAGGAGACGCGCACTGCCACTGTCAGGCCTCAGGCAGCACGTCCCCGCCCTCCCTGCTCCCCTGGTCCCTGGGGCAGACGGGACGAGGCCTCATTTCCTCGTGGCTGAGCGGATAGCAGCGAGCACATTCAAAGGAAAGTGGACAGAACAAAAGAGGAAATGCTTTGGAAGGCACAGGGGCACGGAAGGGTCAGATTCCTAATTCCCCCAATTCTCCAGGCACATATTTTGGTTGTTAAGAGCCTCCCAACTCTTCCGGAAGCGTCAGAGGGGACATGTCAGGACAGATGCCCTCAGGCCAGTGGCGGCCGGTGTCTCCCAGCGTCTGTCCTCTTGGCTGCTCCGCGGGTCGTGGACGGCCGGTGCCGTTGACGCCTCTCCCTCAAGGCCGGTCTGCTTCCGCATCTGGCTTCATTCGTAAGCAAATGCCAAGTCACCCAGAACGAGAGCTCCTCGGCAGCAGGAAAGCCTGTGCAAATATCAGCCATCATTAATAATCATTAATGAGAATTATAAATAAATGAGAATTATAACAGGAAGGTCTCTCTTGAGAGTGGGCGCCTGATGGGGCCTGGGGAGCCTCGGCTGCTCTGCCTGCCTCTCCCCCCACAGACCACAGGCCAGGCTGTGGCTGGTTTTGGGTGGTGGGATGGTCCATGGTGATTGGGCTTCCTCTACAGGGCTGTGGCTTGATGGATAGGCGGGTGATCCCAAGCATGAAGTGAGGGTGGCAGGCGAGCTGGTATCTGGAATCGGCCAACATCACACCTTCCACGTCTGAGCCTTGCAAGGAGGATGCAGGGACCGGGTCTGTGCGGCTGGCTGGACTCCCGCCTCCTCCTCTTTTCAGCTGAGGGACCCTGGGAAAGCCACTTCCTGCACTGCATCTCAGCTTCCCTGGCTGTAGGGCGAGCGCCATAGTGCCTACCTCACAGACCGTTATGGGGATCAAATGAGATGACACACGAGGTGCAGGCAGCACAAAGGGGCGTCATAACTGTTGCCGTTGCAGCCACAGCCCCGCTGCCCTGGATGAGCTTGCCCAGGGAACCGACAGATGAATGAAGGAGTCCTGGGTGGGGACCACGAGGGGTGCCGGCTAGGGGCCCTGCACGATGTGAAACGCCTGGGGCAGAGATCCTGCCATACTGATCCTCTGTCCGTGGTGCTGAACCACCTTCTCGGGACATGTCGCTCCTCGCACCCTGGGACCCAGGCACCCGGTCCCGGTCGAACCTCTTCCCAGGCAGTCTGAGCCAGGTGAGAGACAAGAGGTGTCAGAAAGGATGGGAGAGCAGAGGAAAGGGAGAGACTCAGAAAGAGAGAGGGAGAGAAAGAGAGACAGTGGCAGAGAGAGAGACAAAGAGACAGAGAGACAGCTGGGAATCAGACAAAGGCAGTCGCTTCACAGACACATCACCAGAGAGAAAGGGGCTTTTGTTTTGACATCATTTTTCAACAATCATGGCATCTAAGGAGGAGATTTTTCATACGGTTATTTGCCACTGTTCCTCCCCCATGCTCCACTTGGGGGTCCCTGAGCAGCTCTGTGTGAGAACCGCCAGACTCAGTCAGAGAAGCAGACCCACCAAGCATGTGTGCCTGTGTGTGTTAGGGATGTGTGGACATATAGAAGTGCAGGGATGTGTGGGTTCACTACAGTGAGTTGCGCTCATGCAGTTTGGATCTAGTTAGACAGTTTCTGCAGGGCTGTTGTCTGATGCTGGATGGGGAGTGGCTGGAAAGAGCGAGGGGGACAGCTGTACCCCAAGCGTGACCCTTGGAGGTCAGCCTCAGGCTATCTCACGCTTGTGCCTGGGGACTGGGTGGTCCTGCAGAGGCCAGGGCCACACCTTGGAGCTGGACACGCCCTGCCCAGGATCAGAGTTGCTGAAGGAGGGTCAGGGGATGGTGGCACAGTGGCAGGCCCGGCTGCACACCACATGTGACTCTGCAGATCAGGGGTGGCGCATGGTGGCTCTCCCTTTCCCTCCAGGTCCTCATGAGACCTCCCTCGGAGCCTACCCTGTCTGTAACCCACAGGGAAGGGATTCCGGGAAATGCAGGCCAGCCTGGCCGGCTGACTCGGGACAAAGCCACCACAGCGAGGGAGGTGACAGGGGGCCGAGGCCTGGAGGGCCACTTGTGGTTTGAGGTCAGCTCCTCTTGGGTCAGAGCTGGCCTCTGCCTGTCTGTGAGCACCCAGCTGGAACATTTTCCTTGATGTCTTGGCTAATGGTCCTGAGGGTAGGAACCGCCAACCTGTGTGGTCAACTGTGGCCCTTGTGGGGCCGACACCAGGCCTGGCCTCCCCATGCCCGCTGAGTCCCCTGTGCCTGCTGAGCCCACAGCCTCGGCCACGGGAGGGAGGTCACTGCCTCTGTGTCAGCCCATGGCCCCGTCACAGTGAGTGGAGCTCAGCCTCCTCCTGCTCCTCAGTTTGTGTTTGCAGCCTTCTGCCCGCTCCTCCTGAGTCCAATAAGGACAGATCTGAGGGCCGACGAGCCGGGCAGTGGCTGACCCCTCGCTGCCACCAACTGCGTTCAGTCCTTTCTCTTGCATTGTCTGCAGAAGGGGCAGGGCACTCAGAATGGACTGAGCCTTCCCACATCCTAGATGCAGGGGGGCTGGGCTCTCTAACAGATTTCCTCTTTTGTGAAGGATGGAAAATCCACCCAAAACGGTCTTAAACCAAAAAGCAAATTTATTGACTCATATACTGGGGTGACCATGGGATTGATCAAGCTTCAGGAACAGGTTAATCCAGGACTTGGTTTCTCTCTTTAACTTCTCCAACACCAAGATCCTAATGTTGGTTCCATTCTCAGGCCTCTTGTGGTTGCAAGATGCTGAACTTGACCCCTACAATCCTCCCAGTGTCCACCCTGGGGAACGAGCGAGGGGCCACCTCCAAGAATTCCCAATGGGTGGGGAAACCTTGTTGCATCTCATTTGCTCTGACGGTGTTGTGGGCCTACCCCTGAGCCTAAATGTGGCCAAGGAGATGCACTGTGGTGGTTAACTGGGGCTCACATTGCGTGCTCCATCCGGGAGTTTCCTAAAACGTGAGTGTGAGGCTGGAGCTCCTGATGGGATCCAACACTTTGCTTGCATCAGGAGCAGATGTGGGTCCTAGGACCCCAGCCATTGTCCTGTCCAGGCTCAGAAGCGAAAGGACTTAGAATTATAAACAGTTAGTCATTCATTTCTCTCCACCAGCATTTCCTGGGGCCCATTCCTGTGTGTCAGGAAAATGCAGAGTTGAAGAGGCAGTCCGGAACCCACAATGTACCCACAGTGTCGTGAGGACGATGGACAGAGTCAATAGGACGTTACACTTCAGCATCTTGGCCGGACGGCGCCCTTGGAATTCAGGATGGCAAACAAGAGTCATCTTCCAGGCCAGTCAGTTCATCGTGCCTGCCCGAAATCTGTGTCAGGAAAGGTTCTGAGGCTGTTTGAGGCCACCTACAGAGAGAACTGGGGTCAGTTAGTGATGTCTGCATAGGCGCAGTCCTGGGAGAAGTGTAGGGTGATGGATGCCAGGTGTGGATACTTTACGGGGAACTGAGGTCCAGAGAATAAAAGTGTCTTGTCTGATGTTCTGGAACAAGCTATCAGCAGGGCTGAGACCAGAAACTGCTGTCCTTTCTCCTAACTCAGCTTCTTTTCAAGACATCACAGTGGATTCCAGAGTGAGTTAGACCCAGGGAGGAACGGAAATCAGGGGCTGCCATCCTCTGCAGGTTCCTGACCCTCCCCGCAGCTCAGCCTGCCCCCAGGTTGGGTGGAGGACAAGATGCAGGCCCCTGAGGTCACCCCCACTGCTACCCAAGGCCTTGCCCTCAACTTTGCCAACTGTTTCCCCAAGAAGAAGCAGCTTAAGCAGACCCTTTAATTACCGCCCCCACCCCCACCCCCCAGGCTTCACTCCTTCAAGCGGTTCAGCCGTTGCCAGAAGCACTGGGTGGCAGTGAGGCCCAGAAAGGCTGGGAAGGGGCCTACTCAGAGGCTGTCCCTGGGGAAGGGCTGGGCCCGGAGGTGTGTCCAGAGGTCAGCTGTGTCCTGACACCCCAAGTAGGGCCTAGGACTAAGTTGTTTTTCCTGCATCAGGGAGAGGGGAGCATTCCCAGAACTATGGTTTCAGCTCATCTCCTTCGTGTCTTAGGAAGCACAGAAGGCTAAACCTGGCCTGTCCAAGGCTGCGGGCTAGCATTTCAGGGTAGCGAGTTCTCAAATCTGGGACATCAAGCTTCTACTTTGTTTTCGTGGACACACAGTATCAATCCACTCACACACTCACCCATCCACCCATCCATCCGTCCATCTACCACCCATCCACCATCCACCTACTCACAGATATTCACTGAGTTTGTACCACGTGTCTAGCATGTCGCAGCCTTTGGGAAGTACAACAATGAACAGTGCCCCGTGTGAACCCTCAAGCTTCCAAGCTAAGGTGGGGCTCCAGGCAGGGGTGCACCCACCCTAGGGGCTGCAGAAGTGATCCCCTGGGATGCAGGAAGGAGACATTGACACCCCTACTGTGTGCCTTTTATCCCATCTCGTTATTTAAACGACTCCTTCTGGATCTCCCTTTTCCGTGGGGTGGTGCCCAGCCACAGCTCTCTGCTAGGGGGCTGCGGTCAAGGGAGCCAGAGGAGGTCTGGCCAGGCACGAGGAAGGGTAACGACTGCCTGGAAGAGGCTCCTCGGCCAGGCGTGTGAGGCTGCAGGATGAGGGGCGTTTGGAGACCCCGGAGGTCTCCTCAGAGGAGGTGAGGATTCACGTGGGTCTTGGAGGATGAGTGTGTCAGATGGGGAAGTTGGTGAAGAATATTCCATGGGCAGAACTGGCACAAGCAGGGCCAGGGTGGTGCCCCCTGGCTCAGCACGAATGGAGAAGGGGGGCCGCTCAGCTTGCTGAGCAAGGGGGCTGGGGTGCAGGAGGAGGTGGTCAGGGCGGGACCCACACGGCCTCTGAGGCCAGTTAGGCAGGCAGCTTGCCCTCCACCCTGGTGGGTGACGGGAACCGCTGAAGGAAGACCATGGTGTCAGGTGTCCTCCGTGAATGTGTGCTCATGAGGTTCTTTCAGGACAGGAGGAAGGGAGGCTGGCACTGCTGGGGGAGCAGGGAGTCCAGCAGAGTACGGAAAGTCCAGTGCTGCGTGCTGTGGTCGTGCATCGGCTAACTCTTGCTGTGTAACAAACGCCCCAGAGCTCAGTGGCTTCAAACCACAGCAACTGATCGCTTCTCGTGACTCTGTGGGTTGGCCGTCTCTGCCCGGGTGTAACACCTGCTGCTGCCTCAGTCAGAGGTCGCTGGGCTGGATGGGTCAAGACAGCCTCACTGAATGCCAGCAGGGGCTGCTGGCTGTCCATGAGGCCCCTGAGGTCCCCCTGAGAGCTAGACCAGCCTCCTTCCACGGTGTTCTCAGCATAGCGGTCCATGAGGATCAAGTGGAGGCCGCACACCCTAAGGCGCCCAGGCTCCAAACTCGCACAACATCACTTCCACCGTATCCTATTGGCCAAAGCGAGGCAGAGGCCCACCCAGGCTTGGGGTGGGAGATTCCACAAGTCCTTTGTGGCCACATTTCATGGAGGATGGATAGCCCAGTGCAGGACAGTGTCTGCTGAGGGCTCACTTGTGTTTGCTGAGCACGCCTGTGCAAGGCTTCAGGGAGGGGGCGAGGCAGGCACCTGCGGGGGCGCAGAGGAGGGGGGAGCCAGGGGGCTCGAGGGAGCAGAGGATAGAGGCGGTTTGGGGAGGGAGAGGAGGCCATGCAGAGGGCTCTGGACGTGATTCCAAGGGTGACAGGGAGGGGGAAGGCTTCTGGGCAAGGGGGCAGTGATGGGGGTAGATAGCGGGGAGTCAGGCAGGGGAGCAGTGGGGGCCGATGTGGGGCAGTGAGGGTGGGAGAGCTGGGGAAGGGTGTGTGGGACCCAGGCTGTGAGGCATGTGAGGGACGCCTCCAGGAACTGCTCGTCCCAGGGCGGGACGGGGGGCAGCTCCACTTTCACCCCGACAACCCTGGCCGCGGGCCCTCCCCAGGTCCACAGAGAGCCTCGGCCGGACCACAACCCCACGGCACCTGGGCTCCATCTCTCCATCTCCGCCCCAGCCAAGCCTCCAGCCCGGGGAGGAGACAGGGGAGGAGAGATCCTCAGACCAAGAAACCGCTGGGGAGAGCTTCAAAAAATGCAATTAAAAGGAAAATAATTAAATCCAATTAAAAACGAACCGTGGGGGACATTCTGGGGACTCCAGGCTGCTGTTGCCTGTTTTCCTAGTGAAAGTTCGGGCTGCCTCCTCCCTGTCTTGGCAGCCTTCCCGGGGCTCACCAGGCTGGACCTTTAGGTGGAACGAAGGAGGCTGGGCACTCCCCAACACCTGTGGGGACCCAGGCTTCGCTGTCCTCGGACCTGCCCCGTCCTTTCCTGCTGCCTGGGGCTCCCCCATGCCCACCCGTTCCCCTTTTGGGTGCCTGGTGAGTCCTGCTCTCTCGCAGTCGAGCCAAATGCCAAGAAAGCTGAGATGCATTCACTCAGCGCTGCCTCCAGACCCCCCAAGTTTGTGATCTTCACACTTGCACGCACGTGGGAGTCACCTGGGTGCTTATTAAATGCAGATTCACTGGCCCCCCTCATCCTGGCTGGTGATCTTGGGAAGCTCAGGCGAGGCTGGTGGCTGGCAGCAGTCCAGCGCCCTCCCTCCAGAGAGGATCAACTGCCACCCAGAGAGGAAGGCTGGGCCTGCGGCTGCACCGGGAGCCTGAGGCTCTGGAGCTGCATGCTGGGGAGGGACCTCAGGCAGCGGCCAGCCTGCGGCCCAGGGTGAGGAAGGCCAGGGTGCTTCTGCATCTGAGTCCTCACCAGGGAACGAGCCTGCTGGGACGGGCTTTCTCGGGAATCCGGGACGTGTTCCTCCCCAAAGCTTCCACTGTCAGGTGGGACCACAGCTGTTTGCTATCAGGGGCCTGAATCCGGGCTGAGAGTTCCCAAGGCTGTCTCCCCAGGGTCTAGCCCAGAGCAGGCGCGTCCAGCACTGGCTTGCTCAGGACCATCGGCAGGCAGGCCGTGGTGGGACGGCTCTGGCCAGGGTCATCTGCACCCTCTACCCGGGAGTGGCATCTCACCCTGGAGGCTGAGGTGGAAACCCCACAGAGGAGGTGACTGAGGGGGCCTGTCTGCCCCTAAGTGATGCTCCGAGGTCACCACTGAGCAGAAATCCCTTTCTTGGAGGGAGAATAAGTGCTACACCACCACCACCACCACACAGCAACAAAAGCCAGCGACCAGCAGGCAGGCAGCCACCAACACGGCCCCTCTGCTCCCGACCCCCAAGCCTTGGGTCCTTGCACCCTTCCAGGGACAGCCACGCACACGCAAGTGTCTGTGTGACTGTGTAGTGTGAATGTGTGTGTGCAGGTGTGCAATCACGTGACACCTGAGTGTGCAAGTGTACGTGTGTGACCACTTGATACCGAGTGTGAGTATGTGTGTGCTCACATGATGCCCAAGTATGCAAGTGTATGTGTGTGTGACCGCTTGATACCAAATGTGAGTGTGCAAGTATGACCACTTGATACTGAGTGTGAGTGTGCGAGTGTGTGATCATGTGATACTGAGTGTGTGTGATCACATGATACCGAGTGTGAGTTTGCAAGCATGTGTGATCACGTGATACCAAGTATGAGTGTGTGAGTATATGTCATACCGAGTGTGAATGTGTGAGTGTGATCACGTGATACTGAGTGTGCATGTGCAATCATGCAATACCAAGTGTGAATGTGCAAGTGTGATCACGTGATACCTCATGTGTGAGCTCCTCGCCCTCCCTCGAGCGTGCCTGGCACCCCACCTCCTGGCCCTACCTGAAGGTGGCAGCTCGATGACAGTGAGCGTCTTCACCCCCAGGGCAAGAAGCCCAGCCCCCCTCCCACCCCCGGAGATGCTGGGCCCACCCGGAGACGTTTGGGGCAGGGGTTACTCTGTGTTGTTAACATCTGGGTACTTCAACCCCCAGCCAGCACTGAGAACCGCACGGCCCCTGTGTGACACGCTGGATTCTGTCAGGCCAGGTCCTGTTTCTGCAGTTCTCTCGGACACCCAGCATTTGTCATGTTTGAGCCACAGCCCGTCCTCAGTGATGGGCATCGGGGTTCTCAGCCCTCCGCCACCACAGATGATGCCGGGCGCCACTGGGCAGCACACCCTGAACTCCTGAAAGTGGGGCCGGGGGATCGAAGGGCATGTGGATTTCAAACTCGTTAGATGTCGTCTCTTCACCCGTCCGTTCAGCAGAGCACGGCTGCAGTCTCGCTGTGGGGAGAGGGCGCCTCTTCTCACTGGCTCACGGGAAGCCTGCTCCGTGTTCCTGGGAGCGTGCTGGCCGCTGACGTTTGGAAGCTGGAGTCTGAGCAGGAGGGCGTGTGTGGCTGTGTGTGGCTATGGAGCAGCGCGGGG